ACTCACCATAGAGACTGTACGTTTGAGAAAGTAGCAGCATGTTGGGAAATAATACAACCCACATGACGCTGTGATTATAGCCTCGCGAGACCCTAAGCAGAGGACCTAGCTAGGCTGTGCTTGAATTTTTGACTCACAGAAACTGTGAACTAATCAGTGTTTATTGTTTTAAGTAGCTACATTTGAAGGAATTTGTTACTCAGTAGAAAATGCATACGTGATGCAGATGTACTTTTCACATTTTCTTTTATTTCCTTATATCGCAATGTCACTTTCCTTGTATTTGCTATGTGGAAATTCTTCTGATTAAAATACTTCTTTAGTCTTTTAAAAAGTGAGAGAACCTGACTGCCAAACAGATTTCTTGATAGACAGAGATCACAAGTAGGCAGAGAGGCAGGCAGAGAGAGGGGAGGAAGCAGGCTCCCCGCTGAGCAAAGAGCCCGATGCGGGGCTTGATCCCAGGACCCTGGGACCATGACCTGAGCCATCAAATGATAAATGTTAAGTGTATGTGTAAGTTTATAAAAAAAAAAAAATCACATAATTCTTTTTTTTCTTTTAAAATCCTGTGAGGTTGGTTTCCTTTCAAATATTTTATTTATTTATTTGAGAGAGGAGAAGGTCAGAGGGAGAAACAGACTCCCTGTGCCGCTGGGAGCCTAGTGTGGGACTCAATCTCGGGACTCCAGGATCATGAACTAAGCCGAAGGCAGTCACTTAAACAACTGAGCCACCCAGGCACCCCAAATCACTTTTAATTCATCAAAATGGTTGTACCATTTTATACTCCCACTAGTGATACTGAGAATTCTAGTTGACCCACATCCATGCTAAAACTTGTTATGGTCAGACTTTAAATTTTAGCCATTCTAGTGGGTGAGTGGTGGTATTGCATTGTAGTTTTAACTTGCATTTACCACACGAAAAATGATGTTGAGCATGTTTTTCATATATTTATTAACTATTTGTATATCTTCTTTTGTGAAATGTGTGCTCAAATCTTTTGCTCCCAGCTGAGCAGAGAGCCCGATGCGGGGCTCAATCCCAGGACCCTGAGATCATGACCTGAGCTGAAGGCAGAGGCTTAACCCACTGAGCCTCCCAGGCGCCCCAAGTGTTTATTTTTTACTGTGAGTTCGATTTGTGAGTATTTTTCCTCTGTCCAAGAAATCCTTGCCTATCCTGAGATCATGCAGATTTTCTCCAGTGTTTTCTTCTAGAAGTTTTGTAATTTTAGCTTTTATGTTTGGGTCTTAATACTTTTTGAATTAATTTTTTTAAGTTTTAAAAATTGTAATAAGATACATATAACATAAAAATTTGCCATTGAATTGTATACATTCTCAGGTGTACAATTTAATGGTATTAAGTTCATTCACGATGTTGTGCAACCATCACTACTATATTTCTAAACTTTTTCATCACCCTAAGTAGAAACTGTGTAACCTTTAAGCAGTAATTCTGCATTGTCTCCTTTTCCTAGCCTCTGGTGTCTCTATTCTACTTTCTGTCCAATGTATTTGCCTATTGTAGGTATTTCATGTGAGTAGAACCACACTATATTTGCCTTTTTGTCTGGCTTCTGTGACTTAGTATAATTCATATTGTCCGTATCTTAAGTTTTGATAAGATATTTTATGAACTTTTAAAAAAGATTTTATTTTTTAAAAAAGATTTTATTTATTCATTTGACAGAGAGAGAGAGTGCACAAGCAGGGGGAGCAGCAGAGGGAGAGGGAGAAGCAGACTCCCCGCTGAGCAGGGAGCCTGACATAGGGCTTCATCCCAGGACCCTGGGGATCATGACCTGAGTCAAAGACAGATGATTAACTGACTGAGCTACCCAGGTGCCCCAGTTTTATTTATTTGAGAGAGAGAGAGAGAGAGAGAGAGAGAAATAGAATGAGTTGGGAAAGGGGTAGAGGGGGAGGGAGAGGGCAAGGGAGAGAATCCCAACCACACGCCACACTGAGCACAGAGCCCATTTTGGGGCTCAGTCTTTTTTTTTTTTTTTTTTAAGATTTTATTTATTTATTTGACAGAGATCACAAGTAGGCAGAGAGGCAGGCAGAGAGAGAGAGGAGGAAACAGGCTCTCCACGGAGCAGAGAGCCTGATGTGGGGCTTGATCTCAGGACCCTGAGATCATGACCTGAGCTGAAGACAGAGGCTTAACCCACTGAGCCACCCAGGCGCCCCTTGGGGCTCAGTCTTAAGGACCCTGAGATCATGACCTGAGCCAAAACCAAGAGTTGGATGCTTAACCACCTAAGCCACCCAGGCACCCCTGAATTTTTTTTGTAAGTTATCCATCTTATATATTACTGGCATAGGTTGTTCATGGCATTCTCATTCTTTTATTGCCTGTTGAAGTATTGCAATAACCCATCTTTTATTCCTAAGAACGGTAATTTGTGTTTTCTCTCCTTTGCTTCTTGATTCATCTTACTAGGATTTTTTTTTTCTTTTAGGTAAACTGTACACCCAACATGGGGCTCGAACTCATGACCCTGATATCAAGAGTTGAATGCTGTACCAATTGAGCCAGCCAAATATCCCTGTCTTACAAAGATTTTTATTAATTTTATTAATAGTTTCAAAGAACCCACTTTTGGTTTTGTTCTTTTTTTTTTTTCTATTTCTTTTCTCTCATTGATTTCTTCTTCATTTTAAAAACATGTGCTTAAACCATCAAGGCAGCTTCTAGAGTTTGTGACCATGCTCTTCTATCCTCCTTCCCTTTTTTTAATTGAAGTATAGTTGACAGTGTTTCAGTCATTGATTTCTGTTTTTGCTTTATGTATTCTTGTATTTTGAATTTAATTTGCTTTTTTCAGTTTTTTATGTAGAGGTGTAAGTTAGTGATTTTTAGATCTTCCTTTTTTTTTTTTTTTTAATTTATTTGACAGACAGAGATCACAAGTATGCAGAGAGGCAGGCAGAGAGAGAGAGAGAGGAGGAAGCAGGCTCCCCGCTGAGAAGAGAGCCCAATGTGGGGCTCGATCCCAGGACCCTGGGATCATGACTGGAGCTGAAGGCAGAGGCTTTAACCCACTGAGCCACCCAGGCACCCCAGATCTTCCTTTTTTAATATAGCATTTAAAGTTATAAATTTCCATTTAAACACTCCTTTAGCTGCATACTCTAAGGTTTGATATGTTGTATATTAATTTTAATTGAATCTAAATTATTTTCTAATTTCCTGTGTCATTTCGTCTTTCACCTATAGATTATTTAGAAGTGTGGCTTAATTTTCAAGTGTTGAGGAATCGTGTAGGCTTTTTTAAAAAATTGTAATTGATTTTGAGTTCTGTCGTGTTCAGTTAACATTACTTTATAAGATTTCAGTCTTTTGAAATTTCTTGAGACTTCTTTTGTGTCCTAGTTTGTGGTCTTTCTTGATGAATGTTCAATGTATGTTTGATTAGCTGCCCTGAACTCTTACCTGTGCCTTCTCAGTTTAGTGGAACTACTGTGTTTTGCTTGCACTATAGCTCTCTCTGCCACTATAAGAAAATTGTTCCAAAGCAGAGGGTAGGAACAACTGGGATGCCTCTGCATTTGAGTTTCCCTTTTTTCTGGGTTTGCATTTTTGTATTGCCTTTTCCCAGTGCCTGAAAACTACTGCCTCAAATATTTTGTCTGGTTTTATGGGGGTTTGTAGTAGAATGGTTAGTTTTGTTTCCATAACTGTGTCATAGTTGCAGGTGAAAATTTGACAATTTTAATGCCTAAAATTGAGAGTTTTTTCTTCATTTTTTCATAAGTCAGAACCTGTATTTCAAGTTAATGATGTTCTCATTTCTTCTTCCTCATTTTCCTCTTCAAGTAACTCAGTAATATATATAAAGAAGTTGTTTAACATGACTTTTGTTTCTGTTATGATGTATAGAACTTAGTCATATATATATTTTTTAAGAGTTAGGTGTGATTTTTTTTCCTCGCTTTATCATCAGTAAAATTAATAATTTCATTTAAGTCTTTATTCTTGTCAGTGACCATTTGTTTCATCATTTTTTATCCAGCTTAAATGTTTAGCCATTTTAGTGACAAATTTCAGTATAATTTACATTAAACCTATAAATATTTCTTTGTTTTCTGTGATTACTTCACCGTTAAGCCACAAGAAAAAAAACCTTTTCATTTGGCTAAATATTGGATAGATAATATTATTTTAAGAACAATTATACCTGCTTTCTATACTGACGTTTGCTTCCTTTCTTTGAATATAATGGCTTATTTCCTGTTTATTGACTTTTCTTTACTGCTGATAATTTTAGGTGTGCTTTTTGGATGTGGTGAAGTCTTGTTCATTTCATTAGTTTTTGTTTTTCTTTTTAAGATTTTATTTATTTATTCATTTATTTGAGAGAAAGAGATAGATAGTGACAGACATAGCAAGAGAGAGCACATGTGGGGAGGAGAGGGAGAAGCAGGCTTCTGCTGAGCAGGAAGCCTGACATGGGGCTTGATTCCAGGACCCCGGCATCATGACTTGAGCTAAAGGCAGAAGCTTAACGCACTGAGACACCCAGGGTCCCCATTAGTTTTGTTTTTTAATTTAAGCAACTTATTTGTAGATTTTTTTTTTAATTTATTTTTTATTTTTATTTTTAAAAAATATTTATTTATTTGAGAGATAGAGAAAGGAAGAGAGTGCACAAGTGAGAGGGACAGAGGCAGAGGGAGAGAATCTCAAGCAGACCCCATGCTGATCATGGACCCCCCCCCCCCAAAACAGGGCTTGATCTCACGACTCTGAGATCATGATCTGAGCAAAAACCAAGAGTCAGATGCTTAACCGACTGAGCTACCCAGGCATCCCAATTTTTTTTTTTTCTTAAGCTCCACTTTCCTGCTTTTCTATTTCTGTCATGATTATAGCTTGTACTCATTATTATAATAATCTTTAGGATTTAAAAATAAAATGTAATTGTGTTCAGAGAGTACCAACTTTGAATGTGTTTTTTCAGTTTCCAAAAATATATTACAAAATATAAAAATACAGAATGCTTCATGAATTTGTGTGCCATCCTTGTGCAGGGGCCATGTTAATCTCTGTATTGTTCCAGTTTTAGTATATGTGCTGCCCAAGTGAGCAAAGTTTGAATATATTTTTATTAAAAAAATCAAGTGTTAAAAATGGAAAATTTTCATGCTTCCAAAGTTATTTTTGTTTTTATTTTTATAAGATTTATTTATTTATTTTAGAGAGGGAGCATGAGAGCACAAGCAGGGGAGAGGGAGAGAGAGAATCTTAAGCAGATATCTTGCTGAGAGGGTCCCCATGTGGGGCTCAATTTTATGACCCAAGGTCAAAATAAGAGTTGGACACTAAGCCAACTGAGTCACTCAGGTGCCCCTATTTTTATTTTTAAATATTTGAAATTATTCAGGTATCTGGGTGGCTTAGTCAGTTGAGTGTCAGACTCTTGGTTTTGGCTGGGGTGGTCTCAGGGTCGTGGGATTGAGCCTCAGGGCTCTGCAGTCAGTTGGGAGTCTGCTTAGGGTTCTCTTTCTCTCTCTGACCTGCCCCCTGCTCATGTACTCTCTCTCTAAAATAAAAAAATCTTGGGGTGCCTGGGTAGCTCAGTGGGTTAAAACTGGGTCATGATCCTGGGGTCCTGGGATCGAGCCCCACATCGGGCTCTCTGCTCAGCGGGAGGCCTGCTTCCCCCCCACCCCTGTCTCTCTGCCTGTCTCTCTGCCTACTTGTGATCTCTGTCTGTCAAATAAACAAATAAAAATCTTAAAAAAAAAATCTTAAAAAAATTAACCTAAATTAATGGGCACCTGGGGGGCTCAGTGGGTTAGGCCTCTGCCTTTGGCTCAGGTTGTGATTCCAGGGTCCTGGGATCGAGGCCCGCATCAGGCTCTCTGCTCAGCGGGGAGCCTACTTCCCCCCCTCCCTCTCTGCTTGCCTCTCTGCCTGCTTGTGATCTCTGTCAAATAAATAAGTAAATCTTTAAAAAAAATTTAAGCTAAATTTAAAAATTTTGTCATTTTTAGATAAATCTAAGTATGTATTTTTAGAAAAAACTTTTCAGTCTTAGCATTAACTGTACAATTGTCATATAAAAAAATTAGTCTATGGCTTTACATATGTTATGTCTAGACCTGCACAAAAATAAATTTACTAGTACTATGAATTAATTCTGCAAAATGTTCCTCAGCTGCCATGTGCTCTGTTACTGAGTACTGAGCCAAATGGTGGATACTGGCTAAATGACGGATATCTTTCAAACCATGGATTAGAACAGAAAGGAATCAAGGAAATAGTTAATTTGGCTGTATTAGGAACCAGCATTTGTATTAACCAAGAAATCTGTTATATTCATGTTACCTGAGAGGAGGAAGGATTTGACAGGTTAAATAATTTGTCTTTTTCCTTTTAGGGCCCTTTGCTGTTAAAATATTTTATAATCTCAACAGAGTTCTTTAAGAAGCTTGTTGCTTCACAGTCTATAATAGCAATCTGACATGGTTGTCTTCTTAAAATATATATAGGAAGAAAAAAAATACATAGGAAGAAAGATGTGGGCAAGTGTTTTCCTGGGGTTTGAACAGTGTAAATAGTAAGAATGGATTTTTAGGGTTCCACTTTGTCAGTGCAGTATTCCAGATCACAGGTGTGACAGAGGCAACCCATTTCTTTAGGGAATTTATATTTTGTGTTTGTGGTTTTGCAGAACTGCTAAAGTGAGTAGCCCATGGCAGGGACCTTTCTTGTCTGGCTGTAAGGATGGTAACACAGTCAATAAATAGTTGTGTGAACAAACAAGAAGAGGTTGCTGTTTGATTTTCCATACCTCAAGTTGTTGGGTGCTCTCCAATCCTGGGGAGATGTTAAGCTTTTGTAGTGCTGACAAAGCTACAGGGATATTGGCACGAATGTATTATAATGCCAGTAAGTTTAAAGAAAGTGCTCTGTGTGGAGATACGTTAAACTCTAGGAGTAAGAGTGATACCTTCTTTGGGTCAGATGAAGAACATAATATACGATTCCATTCTCTAAAATTCAAATATTTTCTAACCTTTAGCATTATTTAAAGAGCTCCATGCTCTCTCCCCTCCCCCAATTTATTATTGCACAGCAGGCTAGAGAGAAATGTATTTGCTATTGTCAGAATCTTCTGCTGAAAGGTATTTATAGCACAGAGGTTCATAACATTGATTCTAGAGATTACTTCAGTTCACCAACTTGGCTGAGCACAGGAATACTTATGGCTAGCATAATTCATATGTAGGGTAACTGGTGCAGATATATTGAGGAAAGGTATTTTCCCCTTTACCACCCCTTTAAAGATTTTAACCTGTGTGTGTGTGTGTGTGTGTGTATGTGTGTGTGTGTTAACAATGGGAATAATAATAGCACATGTATCATAGGACTGTGATGATGAGGACTACCTCGGTATTATGTGTAGAGTGCTTAGAATAAAATCCAGTACATAATAAGTACTTATAATAACATGTACTTATAAATACTTATAATAATAAGTACTTATAAACATTGGTCACTGTTATGTCATCATAAGGAGAATGAGCTTGAGTTTTAGAGAATGGATTGTATTGAGTAGAAACTTAGGGCCTGGCCTTAATTAACTGCATGGCTTCAGCTTGGCCTCAGCTTAGGATGGGAATAGACCATGGCAGGTTTCTTAGTTGTGGGAGTGTGGGCTTTTGTGACTGACCCTGATAATATCACAAAACTTCCTAAAGTGGGACTCAGGACTTATTGAGACATTGTAGATTTCTGAGAGTGTTTCCATTTTCATTAGGACTTAGAGTAGGGGTTTCTGAAATAGGAGCTGTAAGAGCCAAGTGATTAGACTGGTAATGGGAGGAAAAGTGAGTGTAGCTACTAGGTGAGAGTGAGTTTACTTGGGTAATAAGTACAGTGGCTTTCTAATCTTTTAAACTCTCACTCTTAATAAAAAATAAATTTTACATTGCAGCCCATCCCACCTGTTCGCCCTTGTTTTTGTATGTATTGTCAGTAATAGATGTCATAGACATACATGTTTCATAAAACAATTCTTACTGCGTGAAGCACTCTGATATTTTCTGTTCTATTTCATTCTCTTTCCCTTTTGAGAAAGTGTTTGTTCAGACTTCTAAATTGATTTTATGAGTTACTAAAGAGTTGTGACCTGCAGTTGAAAAAATATTGGCTGGGGTAGGAATTAATTGTTTGGCTGTTACCCTAGAAAAACAGTTTGACATACTTTGTTATGTCAATAAATTAGAGGAGCCCTTCAGAGTTGGCAGGGGCTCTTAAGCAGGGGACCAAGACTTTTACTTACTCTGGTTCGCTTAGCTCCACCGGATCACTTGGCTTTCTTCAGGCCAGGCTGTTTTTGTCTGATGGTTTCTTGTATGTTGGGGCTTATCTCCTCCTCTACATTGGGAGCCAGCTCCTGGAGGGCAAGAACTATAATAATTGCTAACACTTTTGGGGTGTCTGGGTGGCTCAATCAAAGCAATCAAAGCATCTGCCTTTGGCTCAGGTTATAATCCCAGGGTTTTGGGATTGAGCCCCGTGTGGTATTGGGCTCTTTGCTCAGTGGGGAGCCTGCTTCTCCCTCTGCCTGCCACTCACACTGCTTGTGCTTTTTCTCTCTCACTATCTCTGTCTGTCAAATAAGTAAATGAAATCTTTTTTGGGGAAAAAAAAAGCTAACACTTCTATAGTACTTCCTCTTTGCTAGGCACTTTTCCGCTTTTCATATATTAATCTTCACCGCAACCTATTTATTAGGCACCTGAAGTTATTTTCATTCTACAGATAGGGAAAACAAAGCATACAGAAGTTAGGTAGCTTACCCTTCATTAGAGTTCTTCTGTAGCTTACCATAATGTCTTGTGTAACATCTGTCATACAGATGATTTCATTAATAGTTACTGACAAGTTAAACCAAATAGTTTCTGGATTTATTTTCTTAGCTTTCTTTTGGCTTTTCTCACCACAAGGTTATTCAAGTGATTAGAGAGTAGTAGAAATTGAATTAAAAATGATGCTGAACTTTGTCAAAGGAAGGAATACAGACTTTATTTTAATTGGTCAAATTCAGAATTTGAATAATGGCTGTGCTTTGAGCCCTAACATTAAGACTGTCATCCTCCACCTGACATGCGTTTGAGAATGAATAATGTTACAGAAATGCCCACCTATTCTTAGCTCCTTAATTTACTGATTTGGGATCTTAGTGTGCTTTCTTCCAGTCCTGTGCCCACTACAACAGCTGTTCTATACTGGCCCACGCCTCCAGAGTAAATGGTATTTCTGTCACAGTGTGAGTTTTCAAGTTGGTATGTACAATTTTTGCCAGAGTCTTCACTGCTACCAGGCCTCAGGGTTGGAGGTTGCAACTGACTTGTGGGGGAGGGAGTTTGGTGCTTGTCACTGAGGAGGAACAAGGTGCTCTCTGACGCTCTGATTTGTTACAGGCTGAGTGTGAATGATGTCAGGCAGATCAGAGGACAGCTGATTCATTTGGGATCTGGGACTCCTCACTGTGGCTCACTGCTGCCTCCTGGTCTCTTAGGTCTTTCGCAGAGGGGGTGGGAGGGAATTCTGAATATTATGTTTTTGAAGAACAGTGCTTTAATTTTTTGCTTAAGTTTGGGGAGCCTTTGTAAGTTTCCTTTGGCTTATAGACCGCATACCCCTTGTGTGAGAGAACTTCCTGCCAAGACTCCCGAGTGTGAGAGGGCAAAAGCTTTGAGTAGCCAGGAAAATGATGAAACGGAGGAGAGAGAGACTGGGAGCACCATGTCTGCGGATTCAGTAAGGAGGCTGGGGTCTCTGAGTGGAAAATGGCAGATGTCAGGAAAAGAACTAATGCCAACTAACACACTTTCATTTGCTTAAATAAAGACTCTGCTTTGGAGATGCCTGTCAGAAAGAGGGCTTAGCTGGCTTCACAAATTCAAGGTCAAAACTCTGGTCCCCGGCAGGGGCCCATGGGGCTTCTAATTATGAAAATTGAGTTAGATGCCATTTTAGGGGTGCTTAGGTACCTGGGGAACTGGGTTAACAATGAAGATCTTTTTTTACTGTCGTGAAACAGATGTGTATTTAAACTTAGTGTCGAGGCTGCAT